GAGTTGGCTCAATAACATAAAATAAATAATGATGTAATGAAAAGTCCACATCAAGAGATCCTGAGTCTGTGACAGTATTTCGTCATGTCACTTTTGAAAACCATGGGAAAATAGCCTGAATATTTGTTTTGTCAGAGTAATTACTATTTCCAACGTCAAAAAGACTAAAGGCTGATTTCACACTACTAGAGCTTTCATATTTCACATTTGCAGCTTGCTTCCTCTTATCCCAGTGAAACTGACTGCTGACTGCCCAGGGGCATACCTCTATGTTCTCTAACAAGCCATGTTCTTTCATACTTCCAAGCCTTTACACACTTTGAGCAGAGGACTGAGAAGCAAAAAGCTTTCCTTTTCCTTCACAAAGACATTCTTTAACCTATACCTGGCATTCTGTGAAAATGTAAGAGAGATTGCAAAGGTCATGTGACGTCAGTGACACTGACTTACATGAAGCTGAGAGTAAACGTAAATCTCACTCCCAGAGAGAAAACATACTTTGGTTTTTTATTTGAAAATTCATAAAATTAAAGAGGTAACAGAATCATATCAAGAAAAATTCAAGAGAGAAGAGGGTAACTACACTAAAAAAACAAGTACTTTACAATTGTTCCAGCTGTGAGTTGACTCTTTATATAAAAGTACTATCAGATTAATTAGTTGTAGAAATAAACAACCTCCAGTTTTTATAATATATAATAGAAAAAATTAACATTCACCATCTCAAATAATCTTGTCAACGTCTGAGTGAAGAGGCAAGACAGAAATCATATTACAATAGAAACATAAGTACACTCACAGCAAGAATCTTATTCACTGCCATATCCCCTGCATCCAGAATATTACCTAGGATACAGTGGGTTCTGAATAAATAAAAGACGATAGGTGAATGAAATTATTACTCTATCTACAAGGACAGTAACTGAAGCTAGTTAAAATCTCACAACTGATAATTGGAAGAATTGGGACTTAGGTTCATTTCTTCTAGACACAAAGTCTTAGAACGTCCATTCCATTCCACAGAATTCCCCACACTTACCAAAAAGTTAGAAGGCAATCAGAACACAAAACGAAAAATCTCAAACCTATTGCTCTCTTCAGTATTTTGGGTACTCTGTAAGACCAGTCTCGAGAGTTCTCAAGTCAAACCGATCCTTCTAGTCACTAGAGCACAACATCACTTTGTTTTGTGCTATCCTATACCACTGCTGTTGTTCCAACTGCAACCAGGCAACAGGTGTGGAGGCTTCTGGCTGCACCTCCTCGTTACAGCGGCTCTGGCATCAGTTGGAGTCTACGTTAAATAACGTATCAGTTTCTCCAACTGCTGAGGGAACGCCAGAGAACTGCAGCAGGTAAAAATTTCTGAATGATTCCTCCTGGTATAGTTTACACTGAAGAAAAAGAGGAAGTTTAAGGTATCTTTCCTTCATAGTCATGAGACCTGTTTCTCCTTTCCCTACAACACATCCAGCTAGGTCTTGCCATGCCAGGACACAAGCACCTACAAAAGCACTTGCCCAGAAGCTCATCTTTGAGATTTAAAAGTTACTAACGCTGCGCAGAAACGACTTTAATAAAACACTATCACTAACGCAAACTGGATCAAACTGCCTAAAATATTGAAGAGCGGAGTCTTTTGGAGATTTACCTGTAGGTCATGTTACTACTTAATCTTAAAGATATGGAAGCCATGTAAGCACATGTTAACTATGACAGAACCATCAGTTAGTGTTTTCTACCACTGCATAGAGAAATAAAGTGAGTAAATTGAGAAATAAATAAGTGTGATTACTTTTATTGTGTGTAGAATTTTAATTTTGAAGAGTGATTTATGAAACATTATTAGTCACGTGAAAATTCCTGAGGAAAAAACCTGAAATACAACTTATCTAAAACAGAAGGTATCCTTGAAAATCATAAACATTAACAGTAAATTGGATAAGCACATATAATATAACACAGGCAAAGACAAGCACCTCAAAAATAGTTTGGGCTGTGCACAGAAAGATACTGAACCTCCTACGTGTGAGGCAGAAGTACGTCCCCAAATGCTACAATGAAAGCCCACCTGGGATGATGTATATTTGAGTATAAGCCAATAGCAGGAATCACACATGAATTACTACCAATGAAGAAAGACCCTATTTCTCTTAGGTTTTTAAAACATTTTCTATTTTTTAATTCAGATCATATCTACTGTTAACTCTGATTTTTACCAAGACTAAGAAACTCCCTAAGTTTAGCCAGTAAGTAATTAAAATTTCATGGGATGGTCAGGCTTAAAACCAAATTCCAACTTTTCTTATCATATTCCATTATATAATATAATGGTATAGGGAGTCGACAGAGCTTAAGACCTCAATGTGAATTTATTTTCAAGAAATAATACTAAAGAAGATAAATGTCTTAAAATAAGGCCCAAACTACCCCTTTAAAAGTGACCTGCTTAAAAGCTGAGACTGGAAGACAAAAAGAAATGAAAACATGGCTCATACGTTCATTAAATAAACATTTACTTAATGTCCACTGAGCAAAATTCTGTACTAAGTATTACGATTCCTTCCCTATGACAATCAAAATAAAATAAAAAATTCAATGTAGTAAATACAAAATGACATGGTACAACTGAACACATAAAAAACAGGTGTTAAGTAACGATAGCAGGACCAAGATAAAAAAGTCTTCTCTAGAGAGAACATTAAATCAACCAATGACAGTTTAACTACAGGAATTACACACAGACACAAAGGAAAAGATTAAGTAAGAGTTTTAAGTGGAAGGCTAAGTTGAGAACTAATGCGAGAAATTTGCAGAAGATAGTAAACCTAAGTGACAGATTGATTTTACATTCAATATAATAGGAAATAATAACATATTATAAATACTTGGATAATAGATGAGTGACATGAAGAAAATGCTAATTGATGAAGACATTTCTCCCATACCTACATGTAGGACAGACTATAATACTGAAAACAAAACCAGATACACTGTTGCAGTTACCCAAAAGGTGAGGTAATGAAGGGCTGTGTGGGTGTGGTTGAAGAAGGCTTCAGGTGGCCTGGTGACCAGCCAGGGTATTAAAGGAGGGTAAGAAATACCAGTTTTTCTTTAGAGGCAAGGTTATCACAAAAATGAATAAAAATTCCTGGGCTACTGGAAAACTTAAAGGCCCAGAGGTCTTCAGGGCAGGCAGATCAAAAAGGTCCCACAGTTATGGTTTCAATGGTACATATGAGGATATTCTGTTACTTCCATGAGGCACCACACAGCTGAGCTGCCTTAGAACTGAACAAGAAGAGTAAGGCTTATTCCAGGAATCGCCCCAAAGTCGGTGACCTAGATTTTAAATCCAATTTGATACTATGCCGACAATAAAGTTCAATTACAAATGCAAAAACACGTTCTTAACATGTTAATCCTGCACCTTTCTACCTTTGGTAGAAGATGTCTGTGACAGTATTATTCTCACGCAGGAATTAATCCTTACTTGCAAACAGGATTTTACTATCATCTACTGTTGATGTAAACAGCAAAGGTGTAATTAACCTTGCTCAGAGATTGCCTATTACGTCTACCCACTGGGAACAGCCTCTTGCCCCAGACTTGAGGAAATTCAAACAGGTTATACTACTCATGTGATACTTAAGTGGCGACCCATTATTTGGTCATAAATTACAGCAGGCAGGTACACATCACAGCCATAAATTGTTTCCCTACGTCAAATTTTACCTGTGTTCTAAGGAAAATAGGCCCCCACCTGTAGAATAATAAAAAGGGAGAAAAAAGTCAAACTAGCAATTAACTTCATTTTGAAGAGAAAAATAAGTTAGAAAATATTTAAAATTTCATAATTCTTTATGACCACAAATACTAAATAATCATAGATTTGTAACAGTCACCTGTCACCACAAAAATCAAAAAGAACTCACACTACCTCCAATTTATTAAATAAAAGAAATCACAAGTCTTCAAGCCATTAATCGTGATCAACCAATCACCAGTGAAGACCATGTTGGTCATCACCAGCATGACTAGGGGGAAAAAGCTGAGGTCAGGTTCTCACTGAAAAAGCGTGTCTACGAGAGACGACGAAAATGACTAAACAGAACTGTGTGCTAGCCGAAGCATTTTCCATGTACTAAATAAAAAGGAAATGTCAAAAGCACAATCCAGAAACAAAGCAGGCTATAAAATAAGTGTGACTGCTTCGTAAATAGACGAGCAAAATTATAAATTCTGAGATGTTTTTCATCTGAGAGAGATCTCAGGTGTTTACACTACATTACCAGCGAAGAAAACTGAAATGTTAGCAGGATCTGAAAAAGGGTCTCTAAACAGAGCGTACACTGAATTCCCTTTTTAATAAAAATAGGAGACCAAAAAAAAAAATTAATTTCCAGAAGGCCAGATTCAAAAACTAGAAATGGCCTTACTCTCAGCCCCACGTCTAAGACAGGGCTCTGTATCAGGCCATGCAAAGTGTCCCGAGCAGAGGCCACCCAGCACATTCCCAGACTCTTAACCGGGTCAGTCCAGAAAGCAGGGGCCTCGACTTCAGGTCGTTAGCGTGATCCGAGGCTTTCAGAGCACCTGTCCGCCCAGGCTGGACCAGGAGGGCCACCTCTCTCCAGCAGCCTCCGACAAGAGCCACACCGACTGGACCCAGTAAGGGGGCGGCCCAGCGCGGCTCACCTGGCAGCCTACCTGCTCCCCTCGCAACAACACTCCGATCACGCCCTTTTCCTGACCCTGTTTTCTGGAGCTTGGCTCTCGCTTTGGAGAAGGAAAGCCACAAAGCACCAAACAAGCTCCGTCTCCCTTTCCCCGGAGCGGGCTGCCCGGGCGCGGAGGCGCCGGCGCCGCCCTCCCATCCCCACCGGGCCCAGAGCCGGCTGCCGGCGGGCCCGCGCTCGCGCCCCGAGGCACGGAGGCCGCTGCGCCGCGCCGGGGGCGAGGCGGCGCCAGGCGAGCGCGGGTGCCTACCCGGGGCTGACCTTGTTGAGGTGGGGGCTCCGCGTCACGGCGTAGCCGCGCTGGTGCGTGTGGCGGCGGCGGGGGGCTTCCGGCTCCATGGCGGGCGGCGGGCTCGGACCCAGGCGGCCGGTGGATGCTGCTGGGGCGCCCGTGCTCGACTGCGGCGGCGGTGGCGGCCGCGCCAGCAAAGAGCCGGCGGCCGGGGGCGGGCGTGGGTGGCGAGAGGGGGTGGGCGCGGCGGGAGGAGCCGGTGTCCCCAGCCCGGCGGGCGGCGAGAAGCGCTGAGTCATGGCAGGAGATCAGGCGAGCCGGCGAGTGAGGAGGAGGTGGCAGAGCCGGGGGCCCGCGCCTCGCGCCTGGACAACCACCACGACCCGAGCAGCCCGTGTCCGCGTGGGGTGCGGCTCAGTGCCGCGCACTGGGTGCCCTCCTGACCCCAGCGCCCCCCGTGCGGAGTCAGGCCGGGTCCCCCTCAGGCTTCGCGGGCGCCATCACCCCCGGCCGAGGTGGCCGTGCAAAGGGAGGCGGGAGAGGACGGCTGCTGAGGCCCGGAGGGGGACCCAGGGATGGAGGACTCTTGAGGTGGCCCCAGGGCTTGTTTGCAGAAGACCTCGACTGAGTGATGAGAATCAGACTGCATCCCTCCATTCTTGTTCGGTTCTTCGAGGCTCTCTATCCCAAGACCTGGGTGCCGGCCATGCCTGGGGGCCAGGGGACCAGGGGTCCTGAGGCTGGAAGGAACCAACCTTGACCCAGAAAGCTCAGGCTCGAGTAGAACTGGGAGTAAGCCAAGAGGGGAGGGTGGGCCGCATGAGTCTCTAGGTTATCCAGGGGAATTTTCTTGTAATGCCATTTAAAAAAAGGCAAGGTGTGGTAGGGTGCAAATGTATTACGGCCCAGTGAAGAGTCATATTCATTTTGTATATAATTTTCCTAAGAGTTCTAGAAGCCAGGATATTTAAGAACCTCTTTCTCTGAAAAGCAATGGGTAGCTCAATCTTTAACGGCTTCAGTTTTTTCTTTGGTAAAAGGAGAGTGTCAGAATAAATGATCTTCCAGCGCTAGAATACTTGAAGTTTCAAGGAATAGAGGAGCAGTCAGATCATAGCCCAAAGAGGTGTCTGACACAACGAGGACTAAAGCTTTCCACGCCCCAACTTCCTTTTCTGTTAAATAGGATTGCTACTTTCTACCCTATCATCTCTACCTATGATACTACGAAAGAGAGTGTGTGGGACTGATTTGGTGATTTCATGTATCCATCAACTAGACATACATTCAATCGCAGTGTTTTATTTCTAATTGTTATTTTCCTTATCGGAAAGATTTGCTACAGTAATTGTTTTTGACCATACTTATATTCAGAAGCTTCTTAGGCCTGGTCTCTGAATTGTCTAGAATCAGTTGTTTTATTAGAGAACATTTTATTGGCATCACAGAGTTCTTTAAAAACATTCCTTGCATTTAAATAACACTTTTTACTGTGAATTCTATAATCCATAAATAATTAACTCTCCAACATCTGAGAAGAAGGTGTACTTTACAAAAGTCACTCTCTCGAATTAACTGAGGCACATTACAATTAGAGTGCTTTATGTGAGACAAAAACAGTTTAGCAACAGGCCTGGGAACCAAACAAGACGCCGAAGAAGAAACAAAAATGGTAATACCACAGAACCTTATTATAATGTACTTCTTATTACATAAATTTAGATATATTCCCTGTTATTCCTGTTTCTGTAATATGATACCTACAGATAGGACAGCTGTTGTAAATATAGGGAGTAACCTGGAAAGAGTGTGTGGGCTCTTCGCCCAAGCCGCCGTTACAGAGGGATTACAATATCCTCCGGTGCTGGTAAAGTTCACATTTCTCTGCCATGTTTACTGCTCTTATGAACGGAGCCCCAGTCAGCTGGGGGAGCCATTTTCTATAGTCATATGCAATTCCAGGAGTACTGGGAAGAACCTATGTTTCCACATAAATGGTAGCCAAAACAGTAAGTTTTTCAGTCCTTTTTAATCATTTGTAAACTTAGGTTTTATTGGGAAAAAAAGCATGTTAAAAAAACACATAGAAAAAAACTCTTTTGCTTTAATTTTCCTTGTAAGAAAGCACAGTTGTGCAGTCACTCTGCACACAATTGGTAAAATTAAGAATGAGGGGGCCAGCCCCGTGGCCAAGTGGTTAAGTTCTCGTGCACCACTGCGGCGGCCCAGGGTTTCCCCGGTTTGGATCCTGGGCGCGGACATGGCACCAGTCATCATGCCATGCTGAGGCGGCGTCCCACGTGCCACAACTAGAAGGACCCACAACTAAAAATATATAGCTATGTACCAGGGGGCTTTGGGGAGAAAAAGGAAAAATAAAATCTTAAAAAAAAAAAAGAATGAGTGTGATTCACAAACTAAAGGACTAAAACCTGTAGATTTCTGTTACGTAGGTGAGAATACTGTCAGTCAAAATCAAGTTTTTCTTGCCCAAGCAAGTTTAGTCACAATAAGCTCTAATCATTTTAAAATATAATTGTAGTACTCTGATCTAATGTCATTGAGATTTCAACTACAGAAAATGCAGGAAATACCTAATAGCACATACACCATTTCAAATGTTTTACTGTCATGAGAAAAAAGAAAGTCTAATAGAAAAAAGATGTAGCTATATTATAGTTTGTGATGTTATGTAAATGATCCTGTATTTCTTAACACAGAAAGCACATTACTGCTATGTAAAATAAGTTCCAATTTTTTTTTAGTTGAAAATCTAAACATGCCTGGTTCTCATGTGTTTCTGTATGAGGGGAAGACCTTTGACCTTTTGGGGTTCTAATTTGAGAATTTCAAACACGAGGAGAAAGTCTCCCAGGGTGGCCGACCTAAGAGTTCAGAAGCAAATGTAAACAGCTGAATCCTTGGGATGGCCAGCCCCTAGGGCAAGAGAGAGTTGACGTTTTACCTGCATGCTACAGTGAGGACACAACTTGAATGAGTGCCACTGGAGATGAGGCAAAACTTTACCTCTACCCATCTTAGGTTTTCAGCTGGGACTCTAACAAGAGGGCAGATTAACAAAAGTGGAACAGTTTATTAACACATGCAGCGTGCATCACGCAGGAGAAACCTAAAATGAAGAGTGACTGAAGGCAGCAGCTTAGAACTGTGATCTGTATAGCATCTTCAGCAAAGAGCAGTAGATTTGTGGAGAAACGACAGGACGAAGAAAAGCTGTTTTAGGCTTTCAAAGGCAGCAAACTGGGGAGGTAAATATATGGGAAGAAACTAATGGAGTAAGGTTTGTTTGTAGATTCCTCTGGTCCTCAAAGCTGCATATTTTGGGGTGACATCTCCTGCTTTCCTTCATTAGAGCTTACACCTGGCTCTAAGGATTCCCTGCTACAGGTTATTGGCATTTGAATATTGTATTAATAGATATAACGGGTACATGAGTCATCTCATTAGAATGTTTTAAAGAGAGGTACCCTTATTTGTTCTATTCTTTAGTTTGTGCAAAAGCCCCATCCTCTAAGGGACTCCACAAAAGGTCTAGAGCTCTACCGAGCACAATTTTTTTTTTTAAGGAAGCACTATTACTCTTTATTACCACTTAAAAGCATTATCCTTATTATTAGGAATAATATAATACCACCTCATTCTTATTATGTATTACAATCATTACACATATATGAATACATATATAAGAATACAGATACTGCATGGTGACCAATTTTGGAATTAATCCATAGACTAAGTCACAGCATGCATAAATCATTTATATCTTAACTGCTTATTTATACTTGAATGAGTTTTCATTGAGCATACTAATAATTTTTAAATGATGTAATAAAAAATCTGGTTGTGGTATTTTATTTTGCTGAATTACATTTGGGAAAAAGAAACTAGCTGTTTCACCTATTTTAACACTAGTACATTCTGGATCATGTGATACAATGCTTGTAAAGAAACTTAAAAGATGATAAATTTCCCAGGAGGAGACATTATTTAGTCTGTCTCATTGGTGTGTACTTGCAAAACTTTTTTTGTTTTTTAAAGATTTTATTTTTTTCCTTTTTCTCCCCAAAGCCCCCTGGTACATAGTTGTATATTCTTCGTTGTGGGTCCTTCTAGTTGTGGCACGTGGGACACTGCCTCAGCATGGTTTGATGAGCAGTGCCATGTCCGCGCCCAGGATTCGAACCAACAAAACACTGGGCCGCCTGCAGCGGAGCATGCGAACTTAACCACTTGGCCTTGGGGCCAGCCCCACAAAATGTTTTAACACTGCAAATGTTAGAAGTTTCGACATTGGGCACCAGAAGAGGTTTATACTCCACTACAGTGATGCTGGTGTACTTCTACACCAGGCTTCTGAGTGATGTCAATCAACTGGAGGTAGTAGTTTATCATTTATCAGTTCCTGGTGACGTGAACTGTGCATCATGCCTTCATAGGTTTTGAAGGTTACATTGGCTGGATTTACCAATGTTTTTAGCTTTTCAACAGTGAGAGAACCAACCATTCGGGGAACTAAAGGGTCGCAATCTCCATGGCACTGGAGAATAGAAACATCTCTATTAACGCCACTGATAGGACCCTGGGGAACCCATCTCCGTGGAAGCCCGCAGCTGAGTGCAGTGATGCCTGCCGGTTTCTGCTGTGTGGTAAGAGCAGTGTATAGAGATAGTGCTCCTCCCTGAGAAAAATCCTCCCAGCTAATTCTGTTTGAAGAAATACCTTTCTTCACTCCTGCTTTATCAGAGCTTTAACGTTTTCTGCCCTCTGTTTAATTCCAGGTTCATCCTCCTGTAAATCTGGTAAGTACACAATAATACCAAACCAAGAAGGCATAGCCATGTTACATTTAATGTAACAGCCATAACTGGCACATGTGGTAGGTATATTTGATATGTGACTTTCTGATACCGGCAAAGACTTCTGCCCACCCACGCCCTGTTATCTCCCAATCTACGAAGGAAAGCACCACAGTGGTGGCCCTTTGGGTGGCAGCCTCAATGGCAGGTAGTGTGGCAGGCATCTTGTTGATGTGTCCAAAGCACAAAGGAGAGTGGCGCCTGCCACAGCCCCTCTAAAGAGCATAATTTAAAAATCAAGGATCTAGACTAACTAGTGGTTTTCAGTCTTTATCCCATATTAAAATAACCTGAGAGAACTTTAAAAAAACAGTCTTGACTGGGCCAAGAGTTGATCACTTAATTAGTCTGGGTT